ATTGTAATTGTAAGCCATTGAATGCTTGCCTTAGGCCCTCTTGGACCTCGCATTCCTTTGTATCCTGGCAGACCAGGAGGTCCAGCGGGACATGGTGGACAACCACCCTCGGAGTACGCATCTGCGGCATTTCCAGAAGAACCGGGTCTTCCAGGTTTCCCATCCAAACCGTTTTGCCCTAAATGAGTTTGCCTTACAACACACTAAACATGATTCAGTTCTTTCTCCACCTGGTATTCCTTTAGCCCCAGGTGCCCCTTTTGGACCGGCTGGGCATGATTGTCCATGGCCGCCTTGTGAAGTACTCCCAGCTTGATGACCTACTCCACTAACATCAGCAGCTCCTGTATTGCCTCCAGATGGTTGTAAGGGTGCTGTACCAGCGTTATCTAAAATTACATGGGATTATCAAACCAAAAGTACTTGAAATATTGAAAGATATTTACATGATGCTTGGCGCGGAGATCTGCGGGCGTCCTGTGCTTCGCTTTGAAGGTCCTTCCACATCAGATTGGACATTTCCTCGTAGGTCACGCGAGACTCCATCAGTTCCTCTTCGATATTGTTCATGACAGTGAATAGCACTGGCATCGATACAACCTATAGAAAATTTTGCTAGAAGGTCCATCAGAAGAGTTTGCAAAGTTAAAAACGATTTTCTTGCTAATTTCTCTTTAAACTTGGACGATGTAATCATATTGATTGCCCAACACTGGCTGTACTCACCATGAAGATGAAGGCGCTTCCAGAAAGGAAGATTGCCAGATTTGCTGATCTATGCAGCATAGGTGGACACTTTCCTTCCATATCTGAAAAAAAAACGCTTTTGACATAGAGAAGACTGAGTCTTCTCACTTTGCTTGAGAGAACTTGTGACCGAAAGAATTTGTTGGGAACGGAACTAACGTTAACAGAGACTATTTATCATTATTAAGTAATTCAAATAAAAAGAGGAGAAGTGGATGATTTTGCTGTGATGCAGAAAAGGAACACTCTCCTTTTTATATCGTTTTAGCTTGCTTCCATCTTTGAAAAGTTCCGCAAACGGGGTTTAATCAAGCGGCACATCTAAGCGCGACATACTTTCATTCTCAAACAAGTTTGCTTATGAGAAAGTCATTTAATAAATTATGTTTTTGAGAGCAATTTCCGTGCTAATTCACCCCACTTAAAGTCGGATTTATACAGTAATCCATGAATTTCAAAGCGACTATATAATCTAGATATGATTCGATAACAGCCCTTCTTGCATAGTTTTTGACTGCTTATGTTAAATGTCAAAACTGAAGTTGATTGCAGTTCTCAGTTATATAG